AAAGTTGCATACTGCAGCTTTAGACCTACAGGGTTTGTTGGAAACTGAATGCTCTTTGCATTAATTTTCACTTTCTGGATGAACACTGGAACTGCTGTCTTCTTATGCTGCTGTTGTTTCTCTTTTGAATTTTGTTTGAATATGAAAGGCAGTGAAATATTTTCTTCTGTCTATTAAACATGATTAATATGAAGGGCAGGAATGTTTCACTTTTTCATTCACAATAAAAACTCGAGCATGATCAGCAGTTGAAATGTGGCTGTGATGATTTTTAACGATTACCGACAAAACAAGCTGTGAATGAGTGTAAACACGTGTAGTCGGATTTCTGTGCCTGTTGCACAAATGAGATTAACGCGGTGCTGTTAGAGCTTGTTCGGTATTAAATAGGTGGTGCAAACTCAGCAACAGAGACTGGAGCTAATTGAATTAATATTTACACTTCAGTCAGCGTTTCACTGGCCACAGCAGGGCTGATGTCCTGCAGGCGAGCAGGAAACTGCTGGGCTTAGCAGGACGCCATCAGTCATAATGCAGAGCTTGTGGTCATCATTTCATATCTGTGGATCTGCAGGGTCTTTAGCTGCTCAGCCTCTCTGTTGTAAATCAACCCTGTCAGAATCCATCCAGTTTTATCAGGAATAAACAGCACAGAGCAGCTAAACGACGTTTCCGTTTTGAGACGAACGGCGGCTGATCAGAGCTTTCATAAGCAGAACTGGAGACGTTTTATCAAGATTAGGTTCATTTTTCTCTGAAACGCTTTGCGGAGATACAGAATAAAGCAAAACATACTTTTAAGTTAAATTGTTTTCATGTTTAAGTTGAAGGAATAGAAGAAGCGTCTGTACATAAAAGTGAGCAAAAATAAATTCACATTATACGTCTAGAATTTGTTACAATTTTGGTCAGATGTGAAAGAAAGACTCATTCACGTTCGTTAATCTGTGATGTCAAACTGGTGACGTTTAATGGTCCCAGCTTCAGCTTGATTTAGCTGCAGGACTCCAATTAGATTATTCAACCAGTTTCCAGAGAGGTAATAAATATTCAAACTGACTTTCCTCAACAAAGGTATCAGTCAGGAGAGGGGTTTAAGTAAGCAAAGTAATTAGTGGTGTAATGATACATAAAAATAACA